CTGCCTGTTCTGCTCCCTACTGGGTCTCTGGTGGATCCTCTCACGTGGCACCCCCTCCCCTCCCTCCCCTACTCCTCTGGCTGGTATCCCAGTTCTTGTATGCATCATAAATAACTCTTTTATAAAAAGTAAAATTTCTGAAGATAGCAATAATAAAATTTTTATGGTAGTTAAAAACAACTATGACTTACTTCACTATCAATGGCACCAGGCTTATATAGTTTGATATTAAGAGTTACATAATTTTGTGCATTTTATCTACAAAATCTTCACAGAAGTTCCTATTTATATAAACTTGCTCAGACCAGAAAAAAAAAAAAAGTGAAAGCTTTGAAACTGAGGCTCAATGCTTGAGTTAGACCCTGTAACTACAAGGGGGGAGGGGAAGAATCCTTTTTCTTGAGTCTTGCATTTACAACTTATCTGAAATAGCCTATAAAAGTAAAAGCAACATGAGCTGAGTTCCAAGGTGATCTAGGTACTGAGAGTATAGGAATGCAAAGTCTACTTAGAGGAAAGGGGTACACAAACAGAAATTTAAAGCTCCAGTGATCTAAAAACAACAAGCTTCTCCATACTTCATGTATGAACTTCCCTGTAACTAAACAATGAATTTTAGCCAAGTGCATATTTCTTTGCCCTATTTTTCAACCATTACCCTAAACCTGCTTAACCTCACTTATTTTTCTGAATAAGGGAGGTAGATTTGAGACTATCTTCTACCTCCTTGCCAACTGATTCACAGTAAAACTAATTTTTCTTATCAAAGACATGATGTCATTACATAAGTCAGGTAGAGACTCCATTGCTTGACAATTATAATTCATAAAAGGACAAAACTGGAATACACACAAAACACCTAAAATGATTGCCCATGTCCCTTATAAATACTGAAGCAAACATCCTATAAAAATTTAGTGAATCAGATCCTTACTGGTGGCCCAACAGGTTGAAGCACAGCACTGTGAAGCCAGCCACAATAACTTCACTGCGGGTTTGATCCCCAGCCAGGGAGGTGACCCACATGGCATGGCAGACCTCTCCTAACTCACCTGCTGCTCTCCTCAGCAGTGTACTTTGTTGTTCTGCTCCCCACTCTGTTTCTGATGAATTCTGTCACCACCTCTGCACCTCTGTCTTGTATCTTGGTTCTGTATTCATAAGTAAATAAAATCATTAAAAAAATTTACTGAATCACCACTTAAAACAGTAATTGTTAAAACAGTAATTGTTCAGCATTAGGAAATATATGTACTGACAGAGATAAAGGTGATAAAACACTAATTTCTAAAGAAGGCTCCTCAGAAGCCAGAAACAGGAATTCAATCTTTGAAGTAATTCTACTACATTAAAATTAGTTTCATTAAAATCGGAAACAAAATAAATATGACTACAGCTGTTCTTCAACAATGTGCTAGAATTAGCATTGGCTGTTATTCATCCCTCCCCTTTACAATAATATAGGGAAATAGAACTCTCCAAACTACTTTTCCCAGGTTCTCTTAAAGGCGCTCCCTATGTCTCTGGTAGGAAATGGAATGTGGGAGAAAGGAAGTCTTTCCTTCCTCTCGGAATAGGCAGCTCAAAAACTGCAGGAGAGTAGTAAAGGATGGCACACTTGAAGTTGGATTCCACCAGCAACAACACTAGCACTCTGCTCCAGCTCCTGCAGCTGAAGCAGAAGCACCAGGGACTTTGCTACCTGTTTTTGGACATGTGCAGAGTAAGCTGTAGTGTTGGCTCCAGCCTTTTAGCATGTAAATGGTGAATGTTCCAACAACAGCCCTAAAGCTGGAACAGTTTCCTGTAGTTATTGATTACTGGGTAATCTGTCATGTTCCCTTTTTTGCTCTTACTTAGTATTTTCAATAAGTTAACAGCCAATTTCCTATGCTAAATCCCTTTTTGGATGGGTTCCTGCTTTTGTTACTGATTATTGACTGATATAAGTATTTGTTGGAGGGGTTCCTGCTTTTGTTACTGATTATTGACTGATATATTTGTAACTCATTATTTGCAATGGTAAAATGTTTTACCTATATACACAAGAGACCAATGAAGAAGCTAAATGAGTCAATAGAGTTACAGAATACATACAAAAATTAGTAGCTTTCTTATAAGCAAACAGGAAAAAAAATAACCCATTCATAATAGTATACTAATCTGTAAAGTTTTAATTAACTTGAGAAATTACATGAAGAAAAACTATACTCTAAGAAAGCACATATAATAAAAGCATTCATGAATGAATAAAGGATGCCTATGGTGATCTTTATATGTTAGTACATTAGCGGAATGGTTAAGTATACAACATATTTTGGAATGCATAGATTAAAAAGAATGAATTAGAGTCATGTGAACAGATTACCAAAAAAAAAAAAAAGGTGAACTAGAATGTTCTACACAAATAAAAGAAGCTATAACTTTTTTCCTTGAAAAAAAAATCACCAAATCTCTTTGACTCTTTTTAAAAAGGCATAAATTGGTATATATTATTTGTAATTTTTTTATTTTTATTTAATTAGATATACATTTTTTCTTTTTTATATTTAATTCATTTGTATATATTTAACAAAAAGTATAAATTTAATTTTAAAATGTAAGTCAAACTTCCAGATACCAGCTACACAGTTTGTATTCTATAAAACTACAAAAAATATATGGATGCATACAAAATGACAACTGTTAGCATGGGGTAGTTGAGATTGTTTAACTTTAATGTTGAAAAACTGAAAAGGAGGTACCACAGGATCAGAAATGTGGCTCACAAAATGCCAAGAGCTGGAGGTAGGGATAGAATAGCCATTAACCCAGCTATAGGAACTTAGATACTTAGGCTGTACCCAAACAGCTATCAGACTGCTGTAGGCGGAGTCTGGAGCACAGATCTGAAAGTATGAGATAAGAGAATCTTTGTATTCTCTTATTTTGTATTTTAAAACATTTCTTACAGTAAGTAATGATAACATTGTATTTTTAAGAAATGGGCTGGAGAATGAGAACATAAATCACAGTGGAGAAAATATTTGCTTAAGACAAGGTTGATAAAGTATGGCTATCCAAAATATACAAAAAATTCTTAAAATCCAACAATAATAAACCTAATAAAAAATTGACAAAGACCTGGACAGACATCTCACCAAAGACAGACAGATGAAAAGTTTACACTATATGTCACTAGGGAATTGTAACAATTAGATACCACTACACATATATAGGAGAATGGTGAAAATTCAAAACATTGAAAATATCAAAATAACAAAAGGCATTCCTTTCCAGTGGGAATATAAACAGCAGTCACACTGGAAGGCAGTTTAGAGGTTTCTTACAAAACTAAACGTGCACTTGCTAGATCTATAGCAAGATCTAATACCAATTTCCTTGGTATTTATCCAAAGGAGGAAAAATATTCATAGCCATACAAAAATGTTTATAGTAGCTTTATTCACATTTGCCAAAACTTGAAAGTAATCAGGATGCCCTTCAATAGGTTAAAGTATAAACCTTGAGTCATCCCGGTAATGGAATATTATTCAGCACTAAAAAGAAATCTGAAAAGACACCAAGAGTGAACTCTAAGATAAACTATGGAATTTGGGGTGCAGATTTACATGGTTCACAGGCAGACCAAGGGCGTGAGAAAGCTGCCTCTGCTGAGGGAGGTTAGTGAGGAGAAGTTCTGGCATGGCTCAGGTCAGGAGCAGTCAGGAAGTCTGCTGCCCTGCAGAGGGAGAGAGTTGATGGAAGCACCTACTTCGTTGGCAGGGCTGCTGCCACTTTGCAGGGCAGATTGCAGTGGTACAGACTTGTTTTCTTGGGGGCGGGGTGTGCACACTCCTTCATAGAGTGACTTGTTTGCTGACTTTGAAGAAACTATGTAGAATTTGACAGGGCCAGAGGCTCTACAATGCGCTCAATCTCATACTTTCAGATCTGTGCTCCAGACTCCGCCTACAGCAGTCTGATAGCTGTTTGGGTACAGCCTAAGTATCTAAGTTCCTATAGCTGGGTTAATGGCTATTCTATCCCTACCTCCAGCTCTTGGCATTTTGTGAGCCACATTTTTGATCCTGTGGTACCTCCTTTTCAGTTTTTCAACAGCAATAAAATTTTATGGGGGGGGAAGAAAGTGAGGCGGGAGGGATGAAAAAAGAAAATTCCAGAAAGACTAAGTAATTTCTCAGCTTCCCTTTGCAGATTTCTTTTTGTTCAATTAACCTATTACAGAGCAGGGAGGGGGGCACTCCAGGACCCCCAAACATACATGCTCTAAATAAGTATTGAGATACACCACATCAAGACAAAACATAAGACTTTTAATGGAAAGGAAATTTAACACACTTAGTGTGCAATATAGAAAAGCTAAAGAATATAGTTTCTAAGTCAAACATCCAAAGCTACCCATCTCCTTCCTATCCTTCGCTCCGTCTTCCTCATTAACTTTCTCTTCGCCCTCCATAACCATTCACTTTATACTGCTCAATGATATGTCTTCGCTCATGGTTCCTGAGCCTAAACTTTAGTCACCTCTTCAGGAGTCTCTCCATCCTTTCTTGCTCCCTAGGAGTCCCGGCAAAGTCCACGTTTCCCATTGGCTGCGGACACACAGCCCAAGTCTCCGGCGCGAAATAATCCAAACATAAACCGACCTTAACTCAAGCGCTAGGGCTACAGACGGCATTTTAAGCCTTCAGTGCTCTCAACTTCCATTACTAAGGAGCTCACTGCTGCACAGAGATTACCATAGAGTGACCACGAACCTGCCCAGTGAACCACACACACAGCGCTGCTCACAAAGCACGGCGGGCCTAGGGGCGGGGCACGGCG